TGTGGTCAGTCGGCTCTCTCCATAGCCCACCGTCTGGGTTACATATCCGTAGTGGAGATTCTGAAGAAGGTAACGGAAGTGAACGTGGAACCGGAGAGAGGTCAAGAGGTCAAGTACAAGTCGCACATCCCTGAGACCATGCAAGAAGCTCCACTGTCTGACTCTGAAAATGAAGGAGGTCGTGATGGTGATGATGATGTAATGACAGTTTTGATGATGATGACGATTGTGAGGATGATGATGACGATAGTGAGGATGATGATGACGATAGTGAGGATGATGATGACGATAGTGAGGATGATGATGACGATAGTGAGGATGATGATGACGATAGTGAGGATGACGGTGATGATAATGATTGATGTAAATAAAGAAAAAAAGAAAATAAAACTAATTTTCAGGCGATGAACTTTTATCACACGACCCAACTTTCATGTACCTGGCCAACAACGAAGACAACCAACACGAAGAAAAGTTCAAGGTCACTTAAATTACCTCACTTCATACAAACACACGCACGCACACATACACACATATACACACGCAAACAAACATACACACGCACACATACTCACACACACAAACAAACACACGTACACACACACGTTCACACACACACACGTATACAGACATATATGCACACATACATACCCACACACGCACACACACACGTACACACGCACACACACAGACGGAATGTGATGCGTTCGGATTTGAGAAATCCAGTGAGAAATATAGCGGGACATCTTCTCCAGGCACGTACATGGATGATATGAAGTACATTGGAAGACAGCAACAGAAGGTACTGATGATGATGATGCTGGTAGTGATAGTGATGATGACGATGGTTGTGATGACGACGACGAAGAAGATGATTGAGGTTTTAAAACAGCAATCGCAAAACACCTGCCAGATAATGATGACGTCATCGATGAATGATGACGATGACTACGATGATGAAGTAAGGCGAATGATGATGATAAAGAAGATGAGAAAACAGGGGGAGGCTGGTGAGGGAGCTGCAGTAGGGGGGGTAGATGGTGTAGATGGAGGAATGATCGCTTCCTTCTCAGATGCTAGTCAAGCAAGCATACAGGTGAATTTAACGGCTGACAGAATGAATGAATGAATGAATAATAAATGAATGAATGATTGAATGAACAAACAAACGAACGAATGAATGAGTTAGTAAAGGAATCAAGAATTATTATTATCATCTTTAGCCTGTAGAATTCAGCACGGAGCGTATAATATCAATGGTCAGATCGACAACAACAGCCCAGCACCACCACCACCACCATCCAAACAGCAGCAACCACAGCAGCCTCACCTACTCACCGTCAAACAAACACATCATCAGCTTGCACGAATCGCTCGTCAAACAGCAACACCAACAACAACTGTTGCAACAACAACAACAGGAGTTAGTATTGTATTTGTAGTAATTAGTAGCTACTATTTTAACTCAGTGATGACGTGACGATGAACACGAGAATCCAAATGTTCGACTTTTTATTAATAGGTTTATATTAATTAATTATATCAGTTAATTAATCAACCAATTAATCAATAAATTGGTTGATTAATTGTTTAATCAATTAATTAATTAATCAAAATTAATTTTATTTTTTATTTATTCATTTAGATCATTTAACTGGAAGAGGTCTGTCCGTTCGATTTTTTAATTTCATAAATTGTATGGATCGTGTAAATGAAATTTGAAACAAAACACGTGCGAGATTTGTTTGTTTAAACACGTACACGTACACACAGACGCGCATACACACAGACGCGCATACACAGAAAGCAAACAACAAACACACCTAACCGAAAAAAACTTCACTCTGACCAACCAAACAAAATCAACACCACTAAAAAAGTTTCCTAGTAAGTTTCATGGTGGACGCAAGAGGTGGGGCCATGAGGGGCTGCCGTCATTCCGGGGTGCGATTCATCATCCCCCCAAACAACATATGCATGCCCACACGGATCACGTGTAGGCTGGTTAAGAGGGATAAGATCCCACACCCTCCACCTCTTATGGAAGGCGAGTCTTTGGCAAGCCGTATCATCGAGATGGGACCCGTTGGAGTCAAATTTTCAGGGTACGATGTTTTTCCATTTAGTGTACACACCTACGCACACACACACACACACACGCACACACACGCGCACACACACGCGCACACACACGCGCACACACAGTTTGATAATCATAGAAGTACCTCACTTTGCGTCGTTGTGTGGGAAAGAGAGGGAGATAATGATTTTAAGGAGTGAAGACGGAGAGATATGGAAGGAGCATAACTTCATGAACAACAATAAGATATCCAGGGACTCTATCGTTGCTTGTCTTAACGGTTTGTTTGTATGTTTGTTTGTATGTTTGTTTGTATGTTGGTTTGTTTGTTGGTTTGTTTGTATGTTTGTTTGTTTGTGTTGAAATGTGTTAGTTACTTGGTATTGTTGTTGTTAATTTTGTTAAAATAAAACATCGCAGTAGATAATGCGTACACTTTTTACCTGAAACCCAAACAAATCAACATGTTTTTGCAGAACTTGACAGCGGTACATCTGCCACAACCACCACAACAACAACTGCAACTACCAACAACAACCAACAACAACAACAACAGCAACAACAACAACAACAGCAACAAAAAAGGATCTGTCGCATCATATCAACCGACCTACCGTTATATTTCGCCCTCGTGACCCGGATCAAACAGGAAGTGGGCACTGTAGGGCCGGGTGGGGGCATCATAAGTTCAACCGTTGTGCCCCAAGTTCAGGCGGTTTTTCCTGAGGGCTCCTTGACTAAAAATACCAAAGTGGGATTGCAGGTAAGTAGGACAATCAACAATTCATTACATCATTTTGAATTTTTGAATTACAAATCAATGACTCAATGACTTAGTTTTTTGCTCACACACACACACCAAACACACATACTGAACACACATCACACACACACACCGAACAAACATCACACACACGCACACACACGCATGTACTAACAAACATCATCAGGTGCAGACGGTTCCAACAGATTTAGTTTCCAAATTCGGAGGAAATAGAGTTGCGGTCAGCAGCATTGTGACAATTGAGCCAAGAAGGCGAAAGTTTCATAGACCTATCACCCTCACCCTTCCAAGCCCCAAAGCTTCAAAAGAGGGCATGGTGAATCATTATGGTGCTAGCAATGAGGTCCATGGTGTTAGGCTGTTGTGTAGCATTGTCGGTTAGCAAATCTCTATTACTCTCCTGGTTTTCTTTGTTCTCTTACTTGATCTCTCTCTCTCTTTCTCTCTCTTTTGCCCTATCTTTTTTTCATTTTCTTAACAATGATGATAATCTTAACTCTCACCTCAATGATGAAATTTCATGACGGCCAGGCGGTACAAACGCGGCGATTTGGGAAGACATAACTGAATCCACGCCACTGGTGTTCACCAACAACTGCGTCTCATTCACTTCATCCATATCTGCTAGGTTCGTTTGGGTCATCATCATCGTCATCTTTCTCCCACCATCACCTTCTTCTTTCTTTTCTTCCTCATCAATAACATCACCATCTTCTTTCCACCGTCATCTTTCTCATCTTCCTCCTCATCAATGAAGCCATTCCAATCGTCACCCACCACCACCATCACTACCATCACCACCCACCAACGTCATAAGGTTCTGGCTGATGGAGTGTCAAAACGTGCAGGATGTCTTGAGACTGGCCTCTGATGTCTACCCACACGTCACACTTGTGCCATTTTTCTGCAGGTTTGCCGTATTCGCAAGAAGGACCGACACCGTTGAAGGTAAAATTATCGTTACAATTTATTATTATTACAATTATTATTGATTATTATAATTATTTAATATGACTATAATTATTATTTATTATTCATAATTATTCATAATTTTATAAATTCATGATATTCTCATACAAAGGACGTTTGCGATCGTTCTGTCTGACCGATGACAAGACGGAAAAGTTACTGGAGTCTCACGATCGATTCGACTTGATCGCCTGCAGCAGAGATGTCGAAGTTAGTGCGATACGACCTGACCTTATTTCGAAAAATTAACATTTGACCTAATTATCGTTTTCACTAACGTTTAGTTTTGTTTTTATTCACACAAATTATGAATGTATTTTCTAACCATCACAAACACTCAGCTGAACATTTACCGAAATTAGTTGGTAAAGTAGATGGACAATATCTAATTTATTTTACCTTGAAATAGTCTTCAAATGTTCAACCTTGACCTATTGAAAGGTCTTTGAAGGTCAGCCATTGTATGTAGAAACGGCGGGTAACTTGGTGACGGTTTCGAAGAACAATGAACAAATTTGTCTAAGGTCGTTCACTCCGTTCATCGAGAATAGACTTCCGTTCGTCGTCAGATTGAAGGATCATCATCAGGACCCTGCTGGTGAGTTTGGTGGTGCTGATTACGATGGTGACGACAACGACGACGATGATGATAACAGTGATAATTATTATTGTTATCGTTTCCATCATCACCATCACCAACATTCCACATACCTCCAACCACCATCCCACTAACCGCAACCTCTCACCCAAAACATCATCATCATAATCAAAATCAACAACATCATTATCAGGACTGTTGGCGTTCATGCGAGAACCACGTGACGTGAGGGCGAGATGTGACAAACCCCCCACGCCTGTGGTCACTCTGACCTTTAAATTGCCGCCCTACATACCGGTCGAATGAGGCGGCAGGCCAGACGATAACGTCTTTCAGGAGAAATATGAACCCAATAAAAAAAAGAAGAGGGTGTGTTTGTATGTATGTCTGCGTACGTGTATGTGTTTGTTTGTTTGTATGTATGTATGTATATCCAATCAAATAACCTAACAATATCTTCATCCATCATCGTGTCGTGGTCCTTTGCAGACAAAAGAAATTGAAAAACTGAAACGTGGATCTGGGAGATTCGGAAGAGCCTGAATGAAGACGACTACGCCAAGCTAGGCATGCACTTGGGTCTGGATGTTGAAGACGTTGATAGGATCAGCAAGCAATTCAACGACAACCATGAAAAGGCTCTTGTAGTTATGCAGGTTGCTGCTGCGAAATTACTACAATACTTTAATACTTTCATTTTTACATTTTTATTTATTCTTCCTTATTGCCATCTACCTAGCCCATAATGAAACGTGTCCCAAGTAAAAAATGGAACCTCTTGCTGATGCAGTAATAATGAACACTACGCAAACAAACTAATTTTCAGGCTTGGACCAATAGGAACACGGAATCTGCCGTTGGAGCTCACTTGGAGGAAGCCCTGAGAGGCATAGGAAGGGATGACCTCGCGGAAATGTGCCCTTGTGACGTCATCAACCTTACGCACGCCGTTGGTCAGGTGACCAGTAAAGTTTTTCTCGATTCCAGTAAGAGTTTCAGTTATGTATACGTATTTGTGTATTTTGTGTTGCGTGTGTATGCACGTCTTCTTACTCAACGAACTTGTATTCTATGGCAAGATAATGGCAGATTGTTTTTATATCTGCATTACTACAACTCTACAACTGCGTGACGGTTTGCTGTTGATAAAGTTTATGACATGCTCTCTATCAAAGCTTCTGTCATCTTTCTTCAATTTCAATTGCTAGACAAGGCTAACAAATTATGTAAACCATCATATATATCTGTTGTGTTAATATTCTTCAAAAATTGTTTCACAGCAGGGTTTGAAGCCCTGAGAGTTGAATTGGGGACCTCGTCGAAGGGCTCGTCCATCACGAGGGGTATGTCGTTGGATGTGTCCTACGATGAACAGGATCTCATCAAGGTTTGGTCTCTGGGGCTGGTAGTGGGAGATTCATTTGCTCTTATGATTTTATTAATTTTTTGTAAAAATTATTGAATTATTTAATTTGTTTCTCTTAAAATCACTATCAGATGCCGATGTATATTTATTTTCTTCACAAATTATCCCTTCCGTCTCTATTCATTTCATTTTTTGTGAAAATTTATAAATTTTTTTTTGCTTTACTTACGAATGTATAAATTTATTTAAAAATGAAATAGAATATTTATTACAAAAAATTATGAAAATACTGAAACATTTCCCCTAACTGAAGGATGCCGGCTCAACAATGGACGATCTTAGTGAGGTCTGCTCCTCTGCTGATAAACTGGATAACCCAGGTACCTATTTAATTATTAATTTTTGCCAATTTATGTTAATTATGTGCTACTCTACTCATTAACTATTCATTTCTCTATTCCCTAGATACACATGACGATCTGAGAGATGAAATGGCCACGCCTACATCCAATGAAAACTTTTTGATTGACAGTTATGAATATTCAAATGATGATAATGGGATTGTAACTAAAGAAAATGTGGCTTTTGTGAAATGTGAGCCAGAAGTCGAGGCAGATAAAAATTTGGACAATGCTGAAAAAGGCTTGTTACGAAAATTTTAAATTTTTAAATTAAGTTTTTAAAATTAAATTTTTATTAACTAACTTCAAAAGAATCAACACTGACAAGGAAGAAATGCATAGTGCAGGACGAACTTAAGAATAAAGTCATCAAAGAACTATCCAATCAATTCAAAACTGTCTCGCCATCAACATCGAACAACGAACAACCAATCAAAACTAAGATTCTATCTGAGACCCGTCTCATCGAATTGGAATCAACCTATGAGAAACCGTCAACTAAAGTCGTGAATAAATTAAATCCGGAAATAGATCAAGAACCGCCCAATAAGAAGAAACCGCCTGGATACGTGAAGGATCAGGTGAAAAAATGGGAACAGGCTCTTGGCACGGATGATGAAGATTCCGTCGGGAAAAGTCAAAGTCTAGAGTTCAGCAGTCAGATGACGGAGCAACAAAAAATGCAACCACACCAGCCACTGCCACCGCAACAACCACAAACTCAGCAGCGACAGCAGCGACAGCAGACACAATTTACATTGGATCAAGATGAAAAATTTTCTAACGCCAACCAGGATAACGAATACGAAAATTGGCCGACTTCAAATGCGACAATTCTATTGGACGAGGAAATGGGTCAGACATCATGGTCAACCAATCAGGACGTTGCTCCCATCAACCAATCAAAAAATTTGAACCACCCATTTTTAGAAATCAATTACGAAGAGAGAGACATCATAAAAGTACTTATATTAATATAAATGTGAACGTTGCTTTGCCACGTTACCATTATAAACTTTTTGCAGTTTAATAAAGTTTATTAAAAATCCAACTTTTCTCAACTTCAAACCGTTTTTTCTATTTCCGCAGAGATCAGAGTCAGCTGAAGAAGAAGATGAAAACGTGAATGACGACATCCTAGCGGCTTATGAAAATAATCCACATTTGCAGCAGCAGCAGCAACCACAGCAGCGACAGCAGCAGCAACAAACAACTGAAAATTCTCAAGACCTCTACCGATACAGGCCAGAAACAGATTGTTACGAATATGAAAAAGCATCAGCAACAAGAATAACTGTAGCAGCAGTAACAACTGACCAACACTCGCCAACAAAACAGTTAACAACAAAACCGCCATCAACCGACAACGACAATGATTATGAAAACTGGTCAAAATTGGACGCGAAACGACAAGCGACTACAACAACTACAGATGTAACAACGGCATCACGTTCCTTAGCTTCAGATGAAACTTTCAAAAAAACCGATGATGATTTACTAATAGACGTAACTGAAAAATTTTCTTCAACTATTGATAAAACATTAGCGACATTAAATGAAAATTTGAGACAATATGATGGTGTAGATAATGCCGATGCTAATGATGCTGCAGATGATGACGCTGACGACGATGAATCTGTATCTACAGCCACAACTGCCGATGTGAACGATGTTTGCCAACTAACAACAGCCACAGCAACCACAGCAGCTTCTACAACAGCCACAGCCTCCACAAATACCGCAACAACCACATCAACATCATCCAAAACAGCAACAATAACAACAACAACAACTGAACCTAATGACATTATTAATGCAAAAAACTCAGTTGAAACAACAGACCAGCTAATCAACTCAACAACAGCAACTACAACAACGGCCACAATAACATCAACAACATCAATAACATCAACAACAGGTGACATTAATTTGGACTTCCCTGAAATTGGTCCACAAATAACGCTAACAGAGGATAATAGCACACCAGTTGATGAAGACGATTTCGTTGGGTATTACGGGCTGCAGCAGTATATAAAAGGTGTGCTATTGTTGTTGCTAATGTTTCAGTCGTTACTGTTGTTCACATTATTAATGTCGTTGTAGTTGTTGTAAGTATAATTGTTGCCTTTTGTTGTTGGATTTTTTGGTTTCACAACAGTGTATAACTCATTATAAGGGATGTGTTTTCTGGTGCTAATGACATAAATGTTGATGTTGTTGTTGTTGATGATGATGTTGTTGTTGATGTTGTTGTTATTGTCTGTTATATTACATTGATTACAATACGTTAATGACGATGATGATTTGGTGTTTATGATGACTGCTGATGTTGTCTCTGCGTCAAAGTCATTCTCATCATCATCTCCCATCAGACCAGCACGACAATAGCGATGTTGAATGTGATGGCGATGATGAAGATGAGGATGGTGCAAATAAAGTTAAAGATGATGACGGTAATAACATACAAAAGCAGCAGCAGCAACAACAACCACAACAACAACAACAACAATTTCAATCGTCAACAACAACAACGACAACTACAATAACAGATGATGTAGTGGCTTTTGAAGAAGCGTTAAGTAAAAAATTGACAGAATGTATCGAGCTTGAAACACAACAAACACATCAGCTACAACAGCAACAAGATGAAATTGAAACTTCAACAACTTCAACGGATTCAACAACGACTTCTCAGAAAAAAACATCACCACCAACAACAACAACAGCAACAACGCCATCCACAACAACAACAACTACTTCTACAACTACAACATCAACAGAATCCAAAAAACAACAACACCCCAAGCACCCAATCTCACTATTATTCACTCCAGAAATTTTAGTGGAGCCCGCTAGTCCCATGGTCCAGAGCCCAGAGGAGGAAACTTTTTACTTCCAAGCTCCAACAGTAGTTGTCCAAAAGAGATGCAGTCGAGATGAAACCGCCTACGAAAATATGGATGACGATGAGGAAGAAGATGATGATGGCAGCGATGGTGGTGGTGATGAGGATGAAAAGGTTGATAAAAATGGCGGTAAAAAGTTTACCGGAGGTGTACTAGACCGGAAAAAGATTTCAATTGATGACGACTACGGAAGTAGAATAAAGTTTGACGACTACGATGACAACGATGATGATATGGATTTGACGATGACGTCAGAGAATGTGGATAACATGAGGTCAGTCAGGCAGTCCATCACAACAATTACGTCAGCTACATCGACGACGACGACGACAACTGACGACGACAACGCTAATGACGCTGATGATGACGTCACCGCTAGGGAAAGAATGATCGTCGATGGAGATGATGATAATGGGAAAACAATCATAAATGATGATGCAATTACTGGAACAACAACAACAATATCATCAACAACAACGTCAACAACAACATTAACATCATCAACATCAACAACAACATCAACATCAATAACAACGAAATCAACAACATCATCATCAACAACAACAACATGTAAAAATGACGTCAACTTCGAATCATTGGCCGTAGAGAAAGTTCGCGAGATAATGCTAGAAGCTGGTTGTCTATCTATTTATTGTCTATTTATTTATTTGTCATTCATTTATTTCGGAATAGTTATAAAAAGATATTTTAATAATATTTTTAAAAGATCTTTTCAAATATTAAATAAAAAAAATCAAATAAATATTTCATTAAAATTTAAAAAATACCTGGCTGCTAATATTAACATTTATATAAGACATTGGAAAACACAGAGATGTTCATTTTAATTTATTATCTTTCAAATATTTTCAAAGCCATCGAAGTGGGAACAGAAAAAATGTCATTGAATAATGATCAACAAGAAAATGTTGTTGCAACAACAACAACAAAATCACCACCACCACAACAACAACATACTCATAAAAACATCGTAAACAACAACGACGACGATGACGATGATTATCATCCTTCGCAACAACAACAACAGCAACAATTTGATGATGCCAAGTATGACAGCAATTATGACGAAGATTTAACAATAATTTCCCAAATAGCCGATGAACTCTTACGAGAGGTCACAGAAAGCGTTCAAAATGTTATTCTAGAAAGTTCGATAACTCAACAACATCAGCAGCAACAGCAGCAGCTGCAACGACCACTTTCTCCTTCTGAATATTCTCTACTAGCTGATAGTGAGCTAGGTGAGTGACTATCTATGAATGAATTTTTGAATAATGTATATACTTGCATGCATGTGGTATGTACGTACATGTATTATTATCATTATATCAACATTCAAATCGAAACCGCGAAGAATTTAAATCGGCCGATGGTGATGGTGACGTATCATCGAGTCACGTGATGTACGGTGACGTCAGAAAGAGAAAGGAAGAAGATGACGATGATGAGGAGGAGGTTGTTGGTGATGATGATGATGAGGACGAGCGTCGAAATTTGAGCCCACCATCACCAAGTGATTTCACGCTGATTAATATTGAGGATGAATTCAACGGTTGGTTCGTTTTTATTTGGATTTAATTTGTTCAAAGATTTTTTTTTCTAAAGATTAATTTATTTTATTTAATAAATATATGAGAAGATGAAAATTATATTGGTTGTAATACGTATATAGAAATTATCGCAGACGTGAAAGATGCACCAACGCCTAAACACGATGATAGAACGAATATGAGAAGTGATAATAATGATAGAAGCAAGAATGGTGATGATGAAGATGAGGATGAGGACGATGATGATGATGACGCAAGAAAAAAAATATCAAATAAGGTGAAGAAAAATATTGAGAATGAAGAGATCGTAAAGATGGATACACGAGATGACGACGACGATGAAGAAGAAGACGATGTTATCATCGAAGATGAGTTGGATAGATTAGAAGCTGATGACAATGATGATGAAAGCAATGATGACAAAGACATCACTGGTAATGAATTCATTAAAATATCACTGACTCAGCCGGCAACAAAACCAGCAGCAGCAGCTACATCGACTTCCATCCTTCCAACCATCAAACAGCAGCAGCAACTTCAACTGCAACAAGACGTACCTCGCGCGCCATTCCACACTCCAGTCAAATTCTCTCCCTCTGACTCCTTCTACGACCTCACCAACACGTCACGTGGTGCAAATGACGTCACTTCAGATGAATTATTTCCGGATACGATACACTCTAACTTTTTGACGGAACAGCAGCTGAGAGCTAAGAGGATGTCTTTCGAATTGAAACCTGAAGAGCTGGAAAGAAAGCTGAGTAGATGTAGTGCAAGGTCCGTGAGCGAGGAGAACGAAGAGGAACCGGGTTCGAATGCGTCTGACGACGGAGGAGTTAATATAACGGAGCAATCAGAACCATCGACCGAAGTATTTGCCACGGTACAACACGAACAACAACAACAGCAACAACGACAACAAGATCTATTTTTAAACACACTTCCGGTTGATAGCATGACATCATCACAGGAAATGTTGACGCTCTCACCTGATATGCCGGATGAAAAGACGTTCGGAAAAAGTGAATTTTGAATTATTTTTACTTACGATTTGAAAATTTAATAGAAATGAAAAATCACGATCATTCCATATACGGCAACATTAAACATTTCATAAAATCTTGCCATATAATTTGAATATTTTAATTTGAATATTTTAATTTGAATATTTTAGTTTGAATATTTTAGTTTGAATATTTTAATTTGAATATTTAAACAAAATCTAACATGAACCAACCAAGCAGGTCTCGAACTTTCAACTCACCACGTCTCAACCGCTCTCGAAAGACTCTCAACCACATCTCCCTTCCAGCCAATCACAAACGCCGAACCGAACCCAGAGGCTCTCAAAACTCCGCCCTACTCGCCAATCTCCGATTTGACGTTTACCGGAAACAAGAATGATTTATTTTCCGGAATTGTGACGTCTGACGCCAATGACGTAGACGACGACGCAGACAGTCTAGACGACGGCGACCTGTACTTTGCGAATAAAGTTAAAAAAATTGAAGATGACGGTAGTGGCGCTTTGATGCAGGCAGCTTCAGAAGAAGTTGTGGTGGGTGCGGTAGGAGGAGCTTGCGGGTCTCTAGGGCCCAGGCCAGGGGCAGTCCGGGTCGGCCAATCTCCGAGTGAATTTTTGCTAGAAGTTGATGAAAATAAGAGAGCTGATGACGACGACGATGATGGTATCGGTTACGATGATGACCGTGATGAAGACGATGACGACGACGATGATGATGATGGTGGTGGTGGCGGTAATGATGATGATCAGGGAGGAGATGGAAATGTTGTTGGGCAGGGAGAGGCCGCGCATCAAGAGAGTTGTCTGGGGGACGATGTTGGGTACGTTGGTGACGATGATGAAACTGTAGAAGAAGTTAATGACGATGATGTGGATGATGATGATGAAACTGCTGCTGCTGCTGAAGACGATGATAAAAGAAGAAAAAAACAAAAAAACAGAATTGAATTTTCAACGACGAACAATCGAGACATTCGAAAAGCAGAAGACGATGATGGAGATGAAGAATTAGAAGGCATCATTGATTCTAGGTACGTTGCGATTGAAAATGTTAAGAGCACCTTTCGTAGAGGCGTTTTAAAAACCAAAAAGCAATCCACCTCGAAGGAGGGTAGGCCTACAGCCGATGATGACGACAATGATGATGAAGAGGATGGTGACAACACTGATGATGAAAATGATCATAATAGTTGTGATAAAAGACAAAGTAAAAGTTGCGATGACAATGATGATGACGATGAAAATGATTACGAGATAATCAACAAATCTTCACTGCTTGATACATTCACAAACGAAACTTATGAAAATCAACCACATCAGCCACTACAGCCACAACAACCACCACAACAACAACAACAACAACAAATATTTGAACCATGCGATGCCATAGAAATGTTATACCAACACTCAGTGTTAAGCCAAATCAGTAAATTCTGCATGGAAACGATGAACTCCCGCCAGCCAACAGTTCGCCCCATATACTCCAACACATTCAACATCAGCAAACTCAGATGTAGGCAGCATTCAGATGAAAATCCTATGGACGATTCAACTAAAATGACCTCGATCCAAAAAATATTCGGTCATAGTATGAAAAGTAGCGAAAGTTTGATGGATGGAAGCACTGAATCAGCAGAGCAAATGTTTAACGAGTTATTAATAACTGAAGATTCTGATATAAACGTACAGCAGGCCATTCAAGAATCTTTCAGAACGTCGACTTCTACAAAATCGGATCTGGTTTCTAAGGAACCTAGTGATGAAAAGTTTGACAATGATGACGTTTTTGGAGTTGTAAGTGAAAAAGCTGACGAGAATATTTATGGCACCGAAAATTTAAACAATGTTAATAATAACGGCGGAGCTGATTATGTTGAAGTGGAAGAAATTGTGAGAAGAAAGCGACAAAGTCTTTCAGATCAACAACAATGGAACCAAAAAACAACTGAACAACAACAGAATTTAAAAGAGCAACCAACTGACCACTCAAGACTAGCGAATGAAAATGCACAGCAACCACAGCAGCAGCAACCGCAACAGCAGCAACTGCAGCAGCAGCAACTGCAGCAGCAACAACTGCAGCTGAACCAGCAACTGCTTCTCGACATCACTAAAAACGATGCAGAAATTAAGATTTCATCGACATCAAGCGACGACAAACAAGAGACATCAACATCCTCAGACACGTCTGGAGGCGAGCCAACCATTTTAGCGGCCACATACGATTTGGAGATAGGCGCCGTTTCGAGAGTTGTGGCTGACAAAAATGAGTCTATCGATAAAAGTCATCACCACCATCACCACCATCATCACGTGGGGGGTACGTCACTCGGGAAAAACATGTCCTCGCCGGAAGATGATGTTTTTGTTGAAATGCAGCAGCAGCAGCAACCAGAGAGGCAAAAGATTAATGCCAAAAAGCAACAGTATCATCAACATTTTCAACAACAACAGCAACAACATCAGCAGCAACAGCAATGTCGCCATGAAGAGGAAAGAGACGATATAACAGTTAGATCTCTGACACCACCACCACCACAGCATCACCAATTACAACTACAGCAACCACAACAACCACAACAACCACAGCACGATGACCAAACAGCCCTTGATGATGCACACTCGTCATTAACTTCGTCGTGGGATTTCTGCAAAGACGCTGATGTTGAAAAAGTCAAACACGTCAGAAGAGATGATGACGACGACGAGGAAGAAGAGGAGGAAGAAGAAGATGATGATGTAAAAGATGAAGCGTGTTATTATTTAACCGAGGACTCGAATAATTTCCCTGAAGGTGTACTAATCTCGCCCAACAAACAAGTCATGTCTCATAAAACTAGTGCTGTTGCCGCAACTGCTACTGCAGTCGCTGCTGCAACCGCTGCTGCAACAACTACAACTTCGACAGATAATAGTGGTAATAATGACGATAATGATGATTACGATGATGATGATGAAATTGTTAAGAAATGCGATAGAGATGTATTCACCGAAACTCAACAGTACGGTGAGGATGATTATGGAAATGATAAGAAGAATGATGATGTATACAATGATGATGATGATGATGTAAAGTTGTACGATGGGGCAGATGAAAGTGACGACAACAACAACAACAATGACATAAACATTGCAGACTACAACATCATCAACAACAACAACAACAATGACATAAACATTGCGGACTACAACATCAACAACAACAACAACAACAATGACATAAACATTGCGGACTACAACATCAACAACATCAACAACAACAACAACATACCTGTAAGACTTAATGTCATGAACGACAACGACGGCATATGCAACCATAACCAGCACCGCGATGATGATGATGATGATGATGATGGCGGTGACGACAATAACAACAACATAAACAACAACCTCCTAGTCAACCCATTCTACGACGATGACGGTGTTGTTGCCGCGCGATACTACAGTGACGTTGAATACGACGACGACGATGATGACGTCATCGATGACGTCATCAATGATAACAACAACTACAACCACAATAACGACCTGCCTGGTGCTATAAACAACAACAACAACAACTATAACGGTAACATCAGTAACTACAATGGCGACATCAATGATGAATATATTCACTCAAGTTATTGGGATGATGATGAAGAGGATGATGACAGCGTAAGCCGTAAGCGGATAACTTCTGTCGGCGATCCCAGCATTATAAACATGAACACCGAAGCAAGTTATGAAAGCTACCTACAAGACAAAAATAAAAATTTCAACAATGGAAGTAGCTACAGTAGCGACCAAAACGACGTCGAGTTCGATAACGATGATTACGATGACGTCGGTGGTAGTCGCGATATTGGCGATTTAGTGGCAGACGATGTAGCGAAGTCTAAAAGTAAGAAGAAAGTTTTGAAGGATGAAATCAAATCTAAGTTGAAGTTAGCTGGTCTCGGGGAAGATGAGGACGACGACGACGACGATGATGAGGACGATGACGAGGACGTCCTTGATGACGTTCACGATTTAGAAGCAGTTGCAGCAGCTGCTGCTGCTGCTGCTGACAACGATGATGACGACGACGATGAGATGTCGGTCACGAAAGAAAAACTATCCCAGCTAGTCATGGACATGATGGATGAGCAAAATGATGGACTGAAGGAAGATGTAAAAATGATTGACAGTTACGAGGGGGCGGGGCTTACATTTAAAACAAATGAGGAGTCATCGGATGCCACGTTTGAATTGGAGAACGCTGAAAGTTCGTCCGATTTTGTCAGTCAGATGATTCGCTTCCGAGATAAGTTATTTAAAGACGGAAGTGAAGATGGCGACGATGTTGCTGACAGTTTGGACAGACACCTGGCCGCAAGAAATAAAAACAATAATTTGGATGGTAAAAATGAGGATGGTGGTGATGATGATGAGGATGAAGATGATGATGATGCGGAAGGATTGGAAAGGAGTAAAAGTTTTGAGGAGATGACGGAAGAGGACCTGATGGAAAGAAGAGCTGTCGAGTTTGTTAACGAAGTTATCACAAAAGCCTGGAATGAAAACGCTGCAAATAATGAAACCGAAAAATGCGAAGAACATTCGAAAGCTGAAAACGAAACTGAAACAAACTTATTTGATTACATCCCGCCTGCAAATTGTTGCGAGACAGTCGGTTGCACGGGTATTTGCATGAAAATCACCCAAGATTGGAGCGAACAGGCAGAAAATGATGGTCGGTACGATGATGAAAAAAGCAAAGTAGACGCCGAAAAATTAACGAAACGTGGAAAAGTTGATGGGGATGAAACTGAAGAGGAAGTGGATGATACAAACGTTTGTAGCAAGAGAGCTGATGAGGACGATGCAAATTTTAAAAACGGTTTTAAAAAAGACGGTGACGAAAGAGAAGCATTTCTAGAGAAAAAGATTGATAAAGATGAAGATGAAGAAAAAGATGAGGATGAGGAGGAAGATGAAGACGGCGAATATTACGGATACGAAGATAAATCAACAACAATTATAAGGAAACTGCCAAAAAACCTTCCACCATCATCATCGCCATCTTCAACGACGGCAACATCGTCCCAGAGACCAACGACATCCAACATGCCAGCCACCAACCAAACCTTCAAAACTCTACAAAAATTACCAACACCCAAATCAGCTCGACACCAAATGAAAACGTCATGTGACAGTCAAACAACATCGGATTCCTTGAGTCCAGAAGATTTTTGTGACAGTTCCAGTGTTGATAGTTTTGCAACTGTCATAGCCAGCCCAAACTACGGCGAAGAATCTACTGAAAAATATCACCAGATGTCAGCCAGTGGTGATCTAACATCCTTACAATCATCGACACACTCCGATCAACTGACAACTGACCTCATGCCTGAAAATGTTTCTGAATGCGATCGAGAACATGGAGAGGATGATGAGAAAGTTGATGATGAATGCATTGTGGATGAGGAGGAAGAAGAAGAAGATGGAAGAAATATTAAAGACATGGGTGATGGGAGCGATGAAATTAACGATAGCATTGAAAATTTAGAATCAATACCAGCTCTGCCTTTTGATTTGAATGTAGATATGAACGTCTCAGCGAGTATTTTAATTTCAGACTTCCCGGCCACCCGCCAGCTTCATACTCGCAAAGATATTCCAACCCCACCTACAACGAAGACAAGCACTCCTGACCCAAACTCAGTCGTAATAAAACAACTGCCCAAAACTGACAGCATTCCTTCTAAACAAATTGACAAATCTTCAGCAGCGGCAGCAGCAGCGGCGGCAGCAGCAGCAGTCATGGTAGCATCTACATCGACGACGACATCTTCGTCGAACAACGATCAAGCCAGTCAGGATGAGAACAAAAGTTCTGACGAGCAATCGACCGACGACAACTACAACGACGACTGCGCCTCAGTTCCTTCCTCCTCCGCCAGGTCAGACTCCGACGAGGCATCCAGCGAGTACAACTCTTCAGACCAAATGCTGTTCTCTGACCGTATTCTCACTATCGAGTACTGTGACACCATGCTGGCCACCATCAGAGAAGAAGAAGAACGACTCTCCTCTCTTTCAGGTAAAACAAGCAGCTCGTCGTCAGCTGCCAGAGCGGCTGCAGCGGCTGCAGCAGCTGCAGCCGCTAAAAGTGATGCTGGTAGTAGTAGCAACAAAATGCAATTTCAAAAATATTATCAACAGCAGCAACAATATTTAAAAAACAACGCCGACAAAGATACTGCTTCAGTTTCTTCATCTTTATTAGAGTTCGAAAGGTTGGAGAAAGAGTTGCAAGAGAAGTTGAGCGGCGGTGCAGATTCTAACGAAAGTCAGAAGAGCGGTAAGAAGAACAAGTCAAACGTGAGCGAGGACAACAACAGCAGCAGCAACAACGACAACAACAGCAGTGCTGGCGACGCTGTAGTTGTCGACGACAATCTATCCATATCATCATCGCTTGCCGAGTTCGAGCAGCTGGAAGATGAATTGAAGCAGTCGCCGACCACTGCAGCAGCAGCAGCAACATTCTTGTCCTCGTCCAATCTGGTAGAGAAGCTATCTGAAGTTGAATGTGGCGATGTGATGAAGCAACATCACGTGTACGGTAGCAACACGTCATTGCACTCCTCCATGCTGTCCTCGCCCAACAACCAACACCTCATATACTATGGCCCTGATGATAATATCT